GTCGCCGGAGAGAAATGCAATTGAGGTGAGGCACTAGGTGGCACCAGCCTGGCTTTCCTGTCCCTGCTCGAGCCTCTGAAAAAGTGCTTAGAAATGGTGAATAACTAGAGCGGTACGAATGCTTAAAGAACGTGAGCGATCAGTTTGGACCACCGTGTAAACAACGACCAAACCACGTAAACAAGTCCGGTTCTGTTTGTCACGTTTTTAGACGTTATAAATCAGATACAGCGCAAACTAACACTGCAAAAACGTAAAGCTGCTTGTGATCACATGATTAGAAAGGCTTTGTCTGACTGTGAGTGCAAATGTGAGTCCATGGGGGGATATGTTTAAGCTTAAAACACTCAGAACAAAAAAAAAAATTTATAATACATGCTGAATTCCTGAATTTTGGACTTCTGGTCATCGCGCAATCCACACAGGGAAGGATCCTCCGAAAAAGTGAGCGTCAAACCTCCATGTTTGTTTTCCCAGTGGGATGTGTCTATTGTCAAAGTCGATCTTTTCAAGTCTTTTGAACCATATCACTTTTGTTTCTGGTTCTGATATTGTCATATTTTAGTTTTGGGATTCGGACGTCGTAATTGTGTGGTTGTTGGATCCTAACAGCGGAAAACGGTTTGGAGAAATGGGATTTGGAAGTTTGTGAACTCCATAAATGTGAATAAAAGTGAATCAGATGTGTGTGACTCAAACCTCTGTTCAAACTGTTTCTCTTCCCAACAGAATTGAAAAATAGTGAAAGGTGAAGGTGATGGGCAGGATTGATCCACAGGAAGAACCAAAAAGGAAACATTTGTCTGACTAAGAAATCATCCTGAGTTTACAGAGAACATTTTGTATGTGGAGCGACGACAAAACAAAATCCCGTTTGTTAATGGAGAAGAGCAGAAGACAAACAGACTGAGCTGCACTTTCTTGTTCTTGTGGTTTTACAGAAACATCACGTCTTGGTCTCTTTGCAGTGGAAGGTGTTTCTTGGTGAACAGTTGGAGCCTTTCACTTTGACGTTGACTTTTTAAATTCATAACCGAGGTTGAGCGAAGGATCGGGATTTTGTTTTGTCGTCGCTCCACATACAAAATGTTCTCTGTAAACTCAGGATGATTTATTAGTCAGACAAATGTTTCCTTTTTGGTTCTTCCTGTGGATCAATCCTGCCCATCACCTTCACCTTTCACTATTTTTCAATTCCGTTGGGAAGAGAAACAGTTTGAACAGAGGTTTGAGTCACACACATCTGATTCACTTTTGCATTTATGAAGTTCACAAACACATTTCTCGAGCCGTTTTCCGCTGTTAGGATCCAACAACCACACAATTACGATGTCCGAATCCCAAAACTAAAATATGACAATATCAGAACCAGAAACAAAAGTGATATGGTTCAAAAGACTTGAAAAGATCGACTTTGACAATAGACACATCCCACTGGGAAAACAATGGAGGTTTCTTCGGAGGATCCTTCCCAGTACAAATTGCGCGACAACCGGAAGTCTGAAATTCGTGACGCGTGTATTGAAATCAACTCAAATCGAGACTGGTTTGAGTTCGCCGGAGGATCCTCTGCGGCAGTGCAAGTGTCTGGATGTACGGAAGAGCTTATGAACGTAGTGCCGTGTGGTAGTGGTGCTTGTGTGGTCCAGTAGTGGAGACACTGTCCGTCCTGTGTCCATCTTCTGTGTCCTGTGTGTCCTCTGTGTCCCCCGTCTCCAGCTCCAGTCTGACAAAAAGTAAATAAAAACACATTAGAGCCTGTTCGAAATATTTTAAACAAGTCAAATTTACTTGATTTGTAAGTAATTCAAACTTAAAAATGTAAAATGTTAAATCTATGTGGTCAAAATGGATTCTACACTTTAAAAATATGAGTTAGAGTATAAAAGTAGTTCTGATTAGTTAGAATATTTTTTTTATTTATTTATAATTTGTCAAGTTTGAGGGATTGGATACTCAGCACATCAACAAGAAGACAGACTTAACTAAACACGCATACAAAAATAATAATAATAATAAAAAATAAAAAATAAAATAAAAAAAATAATAATAATAATAATAATATATAATATAATAATAATAATAATAATAATAATAATAATAATAATAATAATAATAATAATAATAATAATAATAATAATAATAATAATAATGAAAATAATAATAAAAAATTAATAAGTGATTAGTTAGAATATTTTATTTATTTATTTTTATTTATAACTTGTCAAGTTTGAGGGATTGGATACTCAGCACATCCACAATAAGACAGACTTAACTAAACACGCATACAATAATAATAATAATAATAATAATAATAAAAAATATAAATTTAATAATAATAATCATAATAACAATAATAATAATAACAATAATAATAATACAATTAATAAGTGATTAGTTTGAATATTTTGACTTTTTTGCTTCTTATTTCAAACCAAATGAAAGTCACAGTAAATATCTGAGTGAGCATGAACTCGTGAAGTGTCGTGTAGGTTTTGTCTTGGCGTAAACTCGGGTGCGAGGACTTACCGGGCCAGCTTCCATGAGTTAGTTGGGCAGAGCTCCCAGTTTGCTGAAGAGTGCACTGTAAAAACAGAGACATGTGTGAGTGAGGTGGGAGCACGTCTAAACTCTGCATCTAATGAAGCAAACACATGACTGGGCGTTACCTCTGCGGCACGCGGCTGCTGCTCCTCTCTTCAGCCTCGGATCTAAGTCCACTGGCTGCTGGTTCATACGGGCAATATAAGCTCGCACAATATGGAGGAAATGTTTAGGGCTAACAGAACCAGGACACGTGAAGAGAAGTCATTTGGGATCATTACATGCAGAGTTTAACTGTACAGTGGTCAGCAGGCAGGCTCCAAAAAACAGTACGCATGCTCCGTGTTTGTCCGCCGTGTCTGATGTACCGATACCCGAAACCCGATACGTTTATAAAATCATTTACAATAATAAAACCAACAATTCAGAATTAGTAATGCCAGGACTATCAAAATGTGAGTATGTGGTTTTAAAGGTGGGGGTAATAACTGCAGCACAGGTCATTGTTAGTGTGTGGAAGGATCCTTCTCCTCCAGACTTTAACAGATGGATGGATCATTTGATGAAAATATGAAAAATCTCATATGACAAATGATTGGCTCGGTTGAATGATAACATGGACATTTTTGTAAAATCTTGGGCACGTGGTTTTGATTGAAACGCCTGTGACAGGTTTGATTGCTCAGTTGTTTAAAACACATTTGAGATCGTTACATTGGGAAAACAAGTGTTTGTTTTTCCACTGTATCGATGTGGCCTTTTTATTTAGAACTGAAATGATTTGTTTTTGTAACAGGTTAAATTGAGTGGAAATTAGAGAGTTACGGAGGCTTGTCACATGCACTTGGACTGTTTTATTTGATTATTTTTGCTATGGAGTGCACTTGTGTATGACATGTGTAACATATACAGGTACATTTGTTGTTTTATTCCTTCGGCCTAAAGTATTGTGCTGCTGTCTGTCATATGGTAAAAATTGTAAAATAATAAAATCAACAATTGAGGCAGGATGTACAAGTACTAATATTTGAAAAATAAAAATCACCTGTAACGGTAAATACTGATAATATAATACATATAATATAATACTATATTATAATATACTATAATATAATATATAATACCAAGCACATTTATTTATTTACGGTCGCACATGTACACTCACACTGTATGGTGTATGTACACTGGAGTGGACACTTTGGTGTGCGGTACACCGGAGTGGACACTTTTGTGTGCGGTACACCGGAGTGGACACTTTAGTGTGCGGTACACTGGAGTGGACACTTTAGTGTGCGGTACACTGGTACACTGGAGTGGACACTTTAGTGTGCGGTGCACTGGTACACTGGAGTGGACACTTTAGTGTGCGGTACACTGGAGTGGACACTTTAGTGTGCGGTACACTGGAGTGGACACTTTAGTGTGCGGTACACTGGTACACTGGAGTGGACACTTTGTACAGTAGTCTACACTGGACACTTCTGATCCGCAGGAAGCTCTGCTGCCTCCACACACTTTCATTGTGACATTTATGGTTCTGCACAGTAGATAAACGTCTCCAGGAGGATTTGGATGAAAGTTTTGTCCAGTATTTCTAAACCAAAGTCTTAGAACCAATCAGAACCAAGCTCTCAGAGGGTGGAGTTGCCCAAAACAACTGTACAGAGATGTTTTGCCTCCTGCACCAGAGAGCTCTGAAAACAGAGCCTTGAAACTCAGAAAGAAAAGTATGATATAATAATGTCATCATGACGCAGATGGACATCATGCTCATTTGTGTAAAGCTTTCAGGTAGAAAGTGAATCATGTCCACGGAGAAGATATTTCCAAAACAACTACAAAACATACGGCGAAAAGAACCACTTGTCTGTGTTTTTATACGTGCTTCTTGTTGTGTGCTCACGTACACTTCATACTTTACTTTGTTGACTATTGACTTCTGAACAACGTCGACTTCAGACCCGAGTCAATTATTCAAGTGACTGGCATTTCCTCGCAGCCACGCAACACTGCTAATGAGAGGCTAATTACGACTAAGCTAACGTGGCATGGCGGGGGTTGTTTAGCCCGACTGTTCAAGAAATCAACAACAGCGATTTAACAATGTCGCCCACTGAGCCGTCACCGTGGAGACGCCTGTAAATACCACACTGCGTAAGAAGAGATAAGGAGTAAAACGGCTTCAGCTCCTCTTGTGGCTGATGCACGCCACTACAGAGTTTGAAAAATAAACAGAGATACGGCAAAAATACAATCATGGGACTAAACCAGGACTAAAACCAGTGTGGATGTCAAACCGGGTTCAAATCAGGTCAAAAACAAAACTAACCTGTTGAGGTGGATTCAGTCATTTTGCTGAATAAAAGTAAAAACAAAAAAACAAAAACAAAGGTGCGCTCCCCCACGGCCTTGAACCTCCCACGGTCTGTGCTGGCTGGTGGTGCGTTCAAACTCACCTGTAGATGAGGAAACTGGAGATGCCGAAGATGATGAGAGCCAGACCGGAGCCCACGGCCACGATCCCCAGAACCGGCAGCTGACCTGAAGCAGAAAAAAAACAAAACAAACATTTAATAGTTTTTAAAGAGCCCAAACAAAATTACAACACTTTATGATCTATGTTAGAATGTAGTTTTCTCATCACAAACAGACCTGGAGTTGTGTTTTGTTTCATTCACATGTTTAACACACAAACCCTGCAGATTTAGGCTGTTCCACCTTGTGATGTCATGTGGTAATACAGGAAGTTTCTCTGTGTTTTTAAAGTAAACTCTTGGAAGTGTAAGAAGATCTGGAAGATGAGTCCAACATGACGCAGGAATTGTTTTCAGTGGCCAAAAACATTTTTACGTCCACATTACTTCCTCAATACTGACCTTACGCCGCAAAAAGTGTGATGTCAGAAACGTGCAGCTCTGACCAATCAGAGCGAGAGTTGCAAGAGCGGAGCGAGGCCTTACAAAACTTTTAGACGCTTTAAAAAAATTCTAAAAAAAATTCATATTGTAAGTCCGGCCGCAAACAAGTTGGTCCTCCTCAAAAAATACTAGTACTTCTGCAATTTGCAACATTTTGGCTTCAGCCGCACATTTGTTTATGTTTTATAGAAACGAAACTTAAAACCACATGGCTCATTTGCATAAACTATAAGTACTCTTTGTGTCGTTGATGTGGTTCAGCTTCTGTCGGACTAAAGGACACGACTCAGTGGAATATGAGTGTTCTTTCTGTGACAGAGGGGTGTTCTGCTGATGGTGAGTCTGTTCTCTGTGTGTCACATTGGAGATGGTTCGTGTGAAACTTTTCAGAGATTATAAATCTACAGGTCAAACACAGACTGTACAGTGGTGAGGCTTCGTAGTTTACTAAAATCGCACTAAAACATGTTGGTAATACGGCGATACCATATGCTCCAGTAAAATGCTGAGAAGGTTTAACGGCTGGAGGAAGTGTGCGTGGAAAGGGAAGTGTGGGAGTCCCTGCTTAGACTGCTGCCTCCGCGACCCGGCCCCAGATAAGCGGAAGAAAATGGAATGGTTTAACGGTATCAAAATTTGGATACCGCCCAAACCTACTGAGGGCCAAATATAAAGAGGCTAAAGACTCAAACAAACGAAGCGACTGTGGACATGTAACCTGTCCATTTTACAAAGAACTGGTCCGTATTTTGTTAGACAAGCCCAGAGTTTAGGCAACTTCCGTAAAGACTGAACACGCTCACTGTGTGTGACGATGTTGTCCTCCAATGCTCATGCAGGACACTTTTTGGGGTGTTTAAAGTTCACACTGGAGATCACATACAAGTTGCATTTAATTGGAAATGTGAACGACCTCCCCAAAAAATTGGATTTCACAAAAAATCTTGAATCTTGAAATGTAGTTAATATGATTACCGTATTTTCCGGGCTATTAGACGCACTCTTAAGCCTCTAACCGCATCAAAAAACGACCGCCCCCACAATCCAGAGCGCCCCATACACGAATCCACTCAGGTGTCCCAGCACGACTTCAGTAAACTACAAAGCCGCACCACCCGCAGAACACACAAACACACACAGAGCAGACAGCGACCGCACAGAGAAACACACCCACAGACAACACTCATCACTCCACGCCCACGAGGAACGGAACAGAGGAACGAACCGAAAAAGCGAGCGCAATGTGCCACTTCTAGACACGACTGAGTCACTGCGAACACGCCGACAATCCGTTGGTCCCAGACACACCCTCCCTACACGCCACAACTGAACAAAGCCGCGGTTTATTTGTGAAAAAAGTTCGAAAATAGACCATTTAATGCCCTATAATCCAGAGCGACTAATAGTGCGGAAAATACGGTAACTGAGATTCAGGAGGAGGACCACGCCTCAGCCGCCCTCTCCTCTCACCAGCGAACCACAACTCACCTCGACCACGCCTCGAATTTCCCAGAAGCCTCCTGTAACTCGACCCCACCCTCCCACCCCTTATTTAGTTCGTCTTTCAGTCCTAAGACGTCTACGAGGGGGGGGTCCCGTTCCGACTGGACCAACTGAACCTCAACCCAGCCATCTCTGCCCCGCTTCGTGCATTATCAATAAACTTCTTCGCACGATGTCGTTGTTGGTGTGGTCCTAACGAGTGAACTGAGCAATAAACTCTGTCGTGGCCTGGGTCGCATTTGAGAAAAATCTGATCTGCGTCGTTCAAACCGTCATTAAACGATCAGATACAACTACAACAAAAATATGACCTCCCAAGCCAAGATTTCTTTAAATATCTACAACTGAGACATTATCTAAATAAGAATACAGTGCTGGATGCTTTGCAAGCTCCACCTACAAATATAGAAATCTTTTTTACATCCGTGATAAAAAAATCTATTACTAGCAAATATATATCTCATATCTACAAAATATTACAAGATGCTACCACAGAGAACACACGGCATATTAAGGAGAAATGGGAATTAGAAATGAACACAATAATTAAGGATGAGGACTGGGATCGGACACTTCGGGAGGGATATAAAATTACAAACAGCCCAGTACTAAATGAATTTGAATGGAAAACTAAAATTAGATTCTTTAGAACTCCTTTTATTACATGTCAGTTTGGTGGAACCTCAGATAGATGCTGGAGGGGCTGCGGTCTGGTGGGGGATCATTCCCACATATTCTGGGATTGTCCTAAACTAACAACATTTTGGAGGGACGTGCAATGCGAAATTGAAAACTGTTTGGGGATCAAAATTATATTAGACCCATGTAATGTTCTGTTGGGAATTTTTCCAAACAACCTAAGAACAAATAGCCATTTTCATTTGCTGAAAATTTTACTTTTAATTGCAAAAAAAATGATAACGGTCTCCTGGCTCAGACCGCTGCCCCCACAATTACCCAGTGGAAAAATAAAATAAAGGATGTATATCATATGGAGCAAATAACTGCAAGGTTACAAATGAAGACAGATTTATTCATGGACAAATGGTCTTCAATTCAGGCCTATATTTCAAAAGGATGACTATCTTTTATAGGATTTTTGTTGTAGTGTGTGTGTAGTGTATATTATGAAAGATGAATGAGGAGACTGTGTATGACTGTATCTATACTGTATACTGTATACTTTGTTATCATTTTACTTGTGTTGCATCCTTGCTGCTGTTTCATAATTATGTGGCTTGCACCAAATTTATTTAATAAAAATAAGTAAAAAAAAAAACAAAAAACGATCAGATACAGGGGCATAGGGGTGAAAAAATCAGGTTTGGGTCACTCCGGGCTGCGGTTTGAACGTAGCCAAAGTCACATTAAGTCAAAATCGTTAATGAGAATTTGCTTAAACTGTGAAAGAAAAATCCATAACGAGCGAGAGCGTGACCCGGGAGGACAGCGGCTCTAATGGCTCGTCCTGTGGCTCTGACATAACCTGATCTTACACAACTCTGTTATAAAACATCAGCCTTCAAATGTGAGCGTCCTCCACCCATCCATCTCTCTCTTTCTCTTTCTCTCTCTCTCTGTCCATCCATCATCTCTCTCTCTCTCTCTCCATCCGTCCCTCTGCCATTACCCAACTTTGATCTGTCCATCCCTCTTTCTGTCCCTGCGTCTATCGATCCCTCCATCTATCTGTCCTTTTATCTAACTATCCCTTCATTTCTCTCACTCACAAACACACACAGATACACACACAGACACACACAAACCACACACAGACACACAGACCAGAAAACCGGGACTAAACAAAGACTAAACCAGGACTAAACTAAGACCAAACCAGAACTAGGACTAGGACTAAACATGGACACAAAAACACACACACACACACACAGACACACACATCCAGTTGCAGAATGTTCAGCGTGTTCAGAAAATCAAGTTGGGACAAAAAAACTCTACGTGAAGCATTTACAACAGCTCAAAAAATAACAAATACATCACAGAATATAAAACCAGTGATTTACATTTTCCTCGGTGACGGCGTCGAGTTTAAAAAGTCAGTGACTAAACTGGAGACGAAATATAAAATGTTAGCGCATTTGAGGTTTTTTTTATTATTATTTTTTATTTCCTAGAGAGGACAACTCAAATATAAATGGAGTAATAATGTGTTTAATGCAGCTTTGACACATTTGTTTATGTTTTATAGAAACAAAACTTAAAGTCACATGACTCATTTGCATAAAAAAACAGCACGCTCTTTGTGGCTGTCGGACTCCACAAGGCTCGTGATACAGTTGTTTATTTGTTACTTTAATTTTGCACTTCAACTTCAATGTCTTTTCAATCTGTTCAAAATGTCTCTGATATGAAAATAACAATAAATGTTTTAACAAATGATGGTCAAAACATTTTAACCCTCTCCAGGCAGGAGTTGCAGATTTGCAACAGCTAAATGCCAATTACCTACTTACTCCACATCCATATTTTATTAACTTTTTTTTACTCAGGAGCCTTTTTTCCCATCCATGCTGATAAACGTGGACGATGCAGACTGTGCAAGACGGCCAGAAGTGCAGAGTACTTTTGTTGTTTACAAAGGATAAAAATTGTTTCTTGGAGCACCACACGAAAAAGTGATGTTGTTCTGCCAGTGTAAAGCTGTTACACTCTGCTTTATGTTTTCATTGTTATGAAAAGTGGTTTACACATAAAGTTAGAGTTCAAATCATTTTCAGTCTTCAGTCTTAATTTACCACACCGGACCAATGCTGCAAATCTGAAACATCCCAGAACGCATGAAGGTCTCTCAAAAAAAAGTCAGGATTGTATATTACTCCCCCATATGATCATTTTCCTCAAATATCAGATTTTTCCTGTTACTAAAGGGTCTGGTCAAGTGGTAACGGAGGGAAACAGGGGCAGATTTTTGACATTCAAATGTCTCTTATTCAGAAACTAGAGGAACTATTGAAATAAGTAAAGTATCAGAATGTAGGAAAGAGTTACACTCCAACAGGGTCAAGTTAAACCTGTGAGATTCTTTCAAGTTCAAGACAAAAAATTTAAAAACTCATGCCGGTAACGGAGGGAATGAAATATGCAGCACTTTTTGGTCAATAAATCCAAACAGTGATAACTCTCTTGGTTCTCACTTACATATCCTTCAAACAAACTGGTTTGAATATTTGCTTCATATAGTTTTCTACCATATGGTACAAGATTAGGTTGAAAAACCTCTTACTTTTTGACTCATGAGATTTTTTATGATGAAAGGTCATGGTAACGGAGGGAAAAGTAACGGAGGGAAAATTTAATTTTTTTTAGACTTGTAAAACACAGGTTTTACCAGATACTAACACCTAATAGTTTTAATTTTCATAAGTTTACTACCTAGAGGTGTAGATTAGTCAAAGATGAAGCTTGAAAGTTAACCTGAAGAGGATTTGCAGGTCTTTGAAATTTGGGAAATAATTTTTGTTCCATGTTTCATACATGGTCTGTTTAAAACGAATGGAACTTTAGAACCAAAAATGGTCCAGAAAAAAGGTCAACAGTTTCATAAACTAGAGTACATATGTATCTGTTCAATACATTTTTATATCAGATGCATTAACTTGAATTTTTGGCCTTGATGTTTACTTCTGCTTGACCGGACCCTAAAACTTAATTTGAGCCTGAGAGTGATAACTTTTGTCACTTTTGTTATTATGTATAATATCGTAATATCATGAACCTCCCCAACATATCGTGAGTTTTCCCACAATATCGCAATAAATATCGTACTGTGAGGTTCATACTGTGATGATATCGTATCATGAGAAGTTAGTGCTTTTCACTTTTGTAACAATGAAATTTATTTATCTGGGATATAAAATAATTTGTTGCATGATTATGTAAACATACAGCCATATTTTACTCCACCCAGCGTTACCGAGCAAAGCACTAAATCTCTGCAAATCCGACGCAAAAGAAGATATAGATTTCGTTGTGAATGATGAGAGGAGATGTGTTCTGTACGTGAGAGGCGCTCGCTCCAGACGAGTGGACCATTGAAAAGCCCCTCTGCGTTTGACTCATCAGACTCTCGTCTCTGTCTTAACATTTGGCCCTGAAGCGTCCCGTTTGTGCTGCGTGTGAAAGAGCGAGCGGCAGATGAAGAGCCGTGTAGTGTCCCTGCCTGATGAGAGTTCATTAAGCACAGTTCACAGACGCTCGTGGACTCAAAGGGCATTCATTTGTCTGAAGAGGAGGTGAGGGACGATTTAACTCCACGCAATTATCAAATCATCCTCCTGCCCTCACCCCGACCGGACGCCACCCACAGCCCCACACTTTTAACTCTTAACTGACATTTTAGCCACGTTGTTATGTTTCCTCGTCAAAAAAACAGACCTGGACTTGTGTTTTGTTTCATTCACATGTTTGAGTCACTCTTTATTATGAGTCTGTTTACATCTACAAAGCTCAAAATGCTCTGTTCCACCTCGTGATGTCATGAAGTGGTGTGGTGTGTGTGTATGTGTGTGTATGTGAGTGTGTGTGTGTATGTGTATGTGACAGCGTGTGTGTGTGTGTGATTGCATGTGTGTGTGTGCTGTATGTTTGTGTGTGTGTGTGTTTATGTGTGTGTCCTGTATGTTTATGTGTGTGTCCTGTATGTTTGTGTGTGTGTGTGTTTGTGTGTGTATGTTTTGTGTGTGTTTGTGTGTGTGTACTGTATGTTTGTGTGTGTGTGTTTGTGTTTGCGTACTGTATGTTTGTAAGTGTATGTTTGTGTATTTGTGTGTGTACTGTATGTTTTTGTGTTTGTGTGTGTGTACTGTATGTTTGTGTGTGTGTGTGTGTCTGTTTGTGCGTGTGTGTGTACTGTATGTTTGTGTGTGTGTATGTTTTTGTGTGTGTGTTTGTGTGTACTATATGTTTGTGTGTGTACTGTATATGTGTATGTTTGTTTACTGTATGTTTGTGTGTGTACTGTGTTTGTGTGTGTGTGTATGTGTTTGTTTGTGTATGTGTGTGTGTGATTTTGTGTATGTGTGTATGTGCGTGTTGTGTGATTGCGTTTATGTGTGTGTGTGTGTATGTGCATGTGTTTGTGTGTGTGTTTGTGTGCGTGTGTGTGTGCATGTGTTTGTGTGTATGTTTGTGTGTGTGTGTGTTTGTGTGTGTCCATGTGTGTTTGTGTGTATGTTTGTGTGTTGTGTGCGTTTGTGTGCGTGTGTGTACTGTGTGTGTGTGTTTGTGTGTGCATGTGTTTGTGTGTGTGTTTGTGTATGTGCATGTGTTTGTGTGTATGTTTGTGTGTGTTTGTGTGCATGTGTGTGTGTGTACTGTGTGTGTATGTGTGTGTGCATTTGTGTGCATGTGTTTGTGTGTCCATGTGTGTGTGTGTGCGTGTGTGTTTGTGTGCGAGTGTGTGTGTGTTGTGTGTGTGTGTGTGTGTGTGTGTGTGTGTGTTGTGTGTGTGTGTGTGTGTGTGTGCATGTGTGTACCGTCATTGCAGGAGGGGTCGTCGGTGGAGAACACACAGGGCGGGTCGTCCAGAGGAGGTGCTCCGCTCGCCCACTGGATCCTCTCCGTCTGGGACCACAGGATCTCTTTGGTGGAGCCGTTGTAATAGGCCACTAACTGTAACACAACCACAGACACACAACCACAGACACACAACCACAGACACACAACCACAGACACACAAACACAGGTGAGTCCAGAAACAAATCATGTAACACAGGAGGAAACGTCTGCACTTCTGTCACTGTCTGGGGACGACTGAACGCGTCGTGAACAGGATTAAAAGAACAGTCCGGAATTTTGGACATAGGACCTCATTTCCTCGTGATCCAGAGTGTTGGAGATGTGTGGAGACACTTTAAAAAAAAAAAAATTCCATCCAGTCCTTGTATTTGCAGAGGTCACTGGTGTTAGACTAGTGCATGTTACTGGTCATAGTTCTCCTTACGTTAAAAACAGTCTTACCCACTCCACAAAACACCCGAAGAAAATCTGTTATTACACCAGACTGTCCATGTGAACGTCTGTGTCCATAGAATATTTGTAGAAGTAAAACCAACCTTACATTTGAAGGATTTGTGTCTGAGCAGCAGCAGTGAATTGTACTTCCTAATAGAAAACTCGGAAGTGGCGGACTGATATATGAGAAAATAGTCCCTCAACATGCGACAATTCATGAGATGCAAGATTAGTTTTATTTCAAACATTATTCTAATAATTAGGGCCGGGCACATTAACGCGTTAATTTTGCGTTAACTAATTAATTAATTATTGGCGACAATTATTTTAACGCCATTAACGCAGTTTTTATTAGATTTTATTTATTTTTATTGTAAACGTCTGTTGCTCACAGGCTTTTATTTTGAAAAAGTCCACTGCGAGCATTTCTTTAAGTTTGACGTCTTTTCTTTACACTTTTTTTACACTTTTTTCTGACCACGTGAGATGCAACGTGTCCGAGCCGCCGGACACGTTTATGATATAAAAATAAGACAACACAAACGAGAGGCCACACTGACTTTTTGCCGACCTGCCACTGCGCACATGCGGAAAAACCGGATGTAAACAAAAACATTTTCTCGTACGGTTAGCGTGCTGTTCTGCCCCAGTGGAGAATATTTCTGTTTTGAGTTTATCTGTTTTGTCTACTTTGAGCTACTGTAGCCGCCATATTGTTCTAGACTTTTCCACTGTTCTTGTCAGTGTTTAATTCCTGTAAACTTGTCTTTTGACCCCATGAAACTATCTGTCTGTAACTATTGTAATGTTATAACATGTGAACTCACTCTGTGGGGCACTTTAAGATATTTTACAGTTTGAAATTCCCTCTAAAATGTGAGACGCTAATAGCATTAGCATGTCTATGGGAATTTTCATTAATATTAGCATTATGCTAATAGCTTGTTTATAGACATTTTTATGTTTAAATCCAGCTAATGTTATTGTTATTGTTGTGTATTTATTGAATTATTAAGGTGCTTTACATTGTTTTATGGAGCTCTACTTATTCTATGTTTGTTTAAATGTGAAAACATAATTGTAATCTGCATTTATTTTTTTATGTTACAGTTTTATAATCAAGTCTTCAGTAAAAGTCCAAAACAGTGAGAGGATTCCTGAGTGTTTACTCGAGAAACTGTTCACTATCTGTAAAACTAGTTCCTAAACTCTAGTGGAGGTAGAATAATGCTTCTGGTTTCTACCTTTACAGTAACGGCAAAACTCCGCTCTGATCTCTGAGTTGTGAAAAGCTCTTAAAAACTCATCTTGGTGAATAATTAGAATGGTCTGGATCAGTGGCCTGATTCAACAGACAGTTTCACTTCCGTTTGACCTCACTCTGTTAGAATCCTTTCTTTCATTTAACTAATCGCTGCTCTTTGGTCGTGACGTATGTAATGCTCCTCTAACTGGTATTTTAAGCTTTTCCCAAATCCTGTAGGAAGAAGGACGATAACGTCTTTCCTCTTGATAAAATTCACCAAACATTCTCTTTGTTCTGGCTTTAAATCCTCGATCTCGGGAATCGTTGCCAACACAGAATGTCTGTCTTTTCACTGATTGGCTGATGCCCAAACTCGCACTTCTGGGGTTTTTACAATCTGTCTAGTGCACAAGTGTCAAACTCAAATTCACAGAGGCCAAAATTCAAAACTGGGACAAAGTCATGGGCCAAACTAAATATTTATTGAAAAATTTCAACAACATTAGTAGTAGTTTTAGTTTAATAATAGTTTTGTTTAAACACTGAATCCAGACCAAAAAAAATAATGTAATATAAAACAATTTTAAATAAATCATGTCTCTATAGATGTATATCTGTGTGTATCTGTGCTCTAATACAGATTTGGTATGATCTCATGGGCCAAATATAATTATACTGCGGGCCAAATTTGGTCCACGGGCCTGAGTTTTACATGTCTGGTCTGGTGTATTCTGATTCCTGACGTAGTCGCTGGAGAGAAATATAATTGAGTGAAGGCACTAGAGCGCACCAGCCCGGCGAGAGGATCAGGCCTGTCCACAGAAGTTAGGGGCCCCCCTCTTTTATAAATGCATAAGAGAAGGTTACAATTCTGGGCCCCTTGATCATTTTGCCCCCTCCAGTCTACTGCCCTGGTCTGGATGCATAAGGTAAATTATAAATCACTTTGGCTACATTCAGACTGCAGGGCTTAACGCTCAGTTCAGATTTTTTTTTTTTGTGAAATCCGATGTTTTTTCGAGGTCGTTCACATTTCCAGTTAAATGTGACTTGTATGTGACTCCAGTATGAACATTAAACGGCCCAAAAGTGTCAAAAGATCAGATATGTATCAGTTTCAGGAGCACATATCCAAGACTACGTTCAGACTGCAGCCTGAAGTGACCTCAAATCAGATTTTTTGGCCCCTATGTTCCTGTATCTGATCTTTTAATGACAGTCTGAACGACACAGATCCAATTTTTTCAAATGTGACCCAGGACACTTGGATCTGTGCTCCTAAAACTGATACATATCTGATCTTTTGACATGTGACTTCAGTGTGAACGGCCAAAGTGCATTCATCCACCTACACGTTATCAACAAGACACAAACGTCACTATTCTGCGCTGAAGTAGGAGAAAATTGTTACTGAACTCCGTGTCACTGAAGTGAAGCATATCTCCACTCACCACTCTTGGCTCCGTCTCCACATCCACATGTTCCTTTCAACGGACTGAACCACAAAAAACACCACGACCAAAAACCTCGTCCTTCTCCTTCTCAATCTCCTCCTTAAAACAAGTAAGTTGTTCATGTTCTGGCTCCGGTACGAGAGGAACTTTAAAATCTCCAGGTGCTCGATGCTGCGTCCATGTTTGGACAACTTCTGTAAACACAGAGACGCTCGCTGCGGTTGACGTCGTCGTGTCTCCAGTGTCACATGTGGGACACTTTTGGGACGTTTAATGTTCACACTGGAGTCACATACAAGTCACATTTACCTGGAAATGTGAACGACCTCGAAAAAACATCGGATTTCACCAAAAATATTGGAATTGAGCGTTAAGTCCTGCAGTCTGAACGTAGACTAAGTGTCCTGGGTCACATTTTTAAAAATCGGATCTGTGTGGTTCAGACTGACATTAAAAGATCAGATACAGGAACATTGGGTCACTTCAGGCTGCAGTCTGAACGCAGCCTTTGAATCACTGCAACCCGTTTAAAATGAACTAGTTCTGTTGCTCACTTTTTAAGAGAATAAAAATCAGGTACCGCGCCTTTAATTTACGAACAAAAAAATCCAATTACAAGAGCAATTTTCTTGCTAAACTCGGGTTAATAAAAAGAAACATTATGCTGCGTTACCAGTAAATAAACCAAAACAATCCTTTAAAATTGATTTTCATAAACAGAAAACACTGGAGCAGAACGAGCTATTACACACGGCAACACAAATAAGACCATTTTGTGTTTTTTTTTTTCTGTGTTTTCAATTTCCGTCACGTAATGATTTTGTTTTTGTGTCCTCGTGTCACAAACGCACCCCCCCCCCCCCCCCCCGTGAAACCTGACCCAGGACCAGGCGTTATTTTGGGGCTTTTGCGACGCCCCCCCCCCTCGGCGTTAACACCGTACGGGGCAGGGGAGGGGGGTTCTGTGTGTGTGTGTGGTTGGCGGTTTAAATAGCGGCTCCTAAAAAAACACCTCATGCTGACAGCGAACCCTCGAGCAAGACACTTTGAGCTCGTAACAGGAGCTGGGTCATAAATCACAAAAAGAGAATTTACTGCAGTGATGTAAAGTCAATACGATTGAATATTTGAAATATATTTATTTTATTTTATTTTTTTGTTTGTTTTTGGATGAGGGATTTATGTTAAATTCTACAAAAGTTCCAAGATTAAATCTCATTTTTGTAAAAATGTATTTATGTGGGATATTACTACTTCTACTACTACTACCATTACTACTACTACTTCTACTACTCCTTCTACAACTACGACAACTACTACTCCTACTAGTTCTAGTACAACTACTTCTACTACTACTATTCCTACTACTACTACTCCCCCTCCGACTACTACTACTACTACTACTACTGCTGCTGCTACTACTACTACTACTACTACAACTACAACCACTACTACTACTACTACTCCTCCTCCTCCGACTACTACTACTACTACTACTACTATTCCTACTTCTACTACTACTACTATTACTACTTACTACTACTACTACTTCTTCACCTACTACTACTACTACTACTACTTCTACGACTACTACTCCCCCTCTGACTACTACTACTATTACTACTAATACTACTGCTACTACAGCTACAACAACCACTACTACTACTTCTACTACTACTATTCCCCCTCTGACTACTACTACTACTACTACTACTACTACTCCTACTCCTTCACCTACTACTACTACTACTATTATTTCTGCTACTACTACTACTAACATTACTACTACTTCTACTACTCCTACTAGTTCTACTACTACTACTACTACTCCTCCCACTACTCCTACTCTTACTCCTACTTCAACTACAACAACTACTACTACTACTACTAAAATAGCGCTCCTAAAAACCACCTCATGCTGACAGCGAACCCTCGAGCAAGACACTTCGAGCTCGTAACGGGAGGAGGCGCGTTTCCTGACGACAGAATCTGCGTCGTAAATCACAAAAGGGAATTTACTGCGGTGACATAAAGTCATCAGAGTCTGACGTCCCCGTGTGCTGTAAAAGCTCCACTTGAATATTTCAAATGTACTTGTGGTGAAGTTTACACTTTAAATGTTTTTATTTATTGATTTATTTACTTAATTATTATTAGTAGTAGTACTATTTTTCTTTTCTTTTTTTTTGGAGGGGGTATTTATGTTAAATTCTACAAAAAGTTCCCAGATTAAATTTCATTTTTGTAAAAATGTATTTATGTGGGACTATATTATTACTACTATTACTACTACTACTACTACTACTAGTATTACTACTACTACTACTACTACTACTATTACTACTACTACTACTACTACTACTACTACTACTACTACTACTACTACTACTACTACTACTACTACTACTACTACTACTACTACTACTACTACTACTACTACTACTACTACTACTACTACTACTACTACTACTACTACTACTACTACTACTACTACTACTACTACTACTACTACTACTACTACTACTACTACTACTACTACTACTACTACTACTACTACTACTACTACTACTACTACTACTACTACTACTACTACTACTACTACTACTACTACTACTACTACTACTACTACTACTACTACTACTACTACTACTACTACTACTACTACTACTACTACTACTACTACTACTACTACTACTACTACTACTACTACTACTACTACTACTACTACTACTACTACTACTACTACTACTACTACTACTACTACTACTACTACTACTACTACTACTACTACTACTACTACTACTACTACTCCTAGTCTGTACTATTACTACTACTATTATTACTATGTGTTACTACTGCTTGTCTGTACAACATCAACTACTACTACTAGCACTACTTCTTGTACTGCTACCCCTAATAGTACTACTACTACTACTACTACTACTACTACTTACTACTACTCCTACTACAACAACTACTAATGATGCTACTACTCCTACTACTACAAGTACTACTATTCCTACTCCTTCAAGTACTTCTAGTACTACTACTAGTCTGTACTACTGCTACTATTACTATTTGCTATTATTACTACTCCTACTCATACTACTCCTCCTCCTACTACTGCTACTTCTAGTACTACTATTGCTTGTCTGTACAACTACTACTACTAGCCTACTACTACTAGTACTACTACTACTACTAGCCTACTACTACTAGTACTACTACTACTACTACTCCTACTAACCCTGTATTTTAGACGTGTACAGATTCGAGGCTGTAAACCTGGTACAGTTTAAAACATAAAATGGTGTGAGGAGTTTTATTAATAATCTGTGCTCTGACTTTGGTTGCCATGGTGACAGGTCTGAATGTGAAGTGACCCGTCAGATCTGGTTCTGACGCAGACCCACGATAACCCACTTTACTTTTACTTCTCTGGCACAACATTTAGAACCACACGAGTTCAAGGCCGAGAGAGTCTGGGTACTGCAGTACACACACTACTCCCTACAGAAGAGTCGAAAATCAGACTCTAATCCAAAAGAAATCCATGTGTCGCTCATTTTTCAACATAAAAACAAAAATAAGAACATGAAAAAACAACGATTTTCTTCATTATTTGTCTCCACAAGAGTCTGTGCTCCTGAACCAGGAGAGTCAGGACGGGTGATCAGGACTGGACCAGACCAGGACCAGACCAGGACTGAGACTGGGACTTAGACCGGGACTGAGACTGGGACTGAGGGAGACCGGGACTGAGACTGGGACTGAGACCGGGACCAGACCAGGACTGAGACCAGGGCAGAGGGACCAGACCGGGACTGAGACAGGGACCAGGGACCAGACCAGGACTGAAGACAGGGACCAGCCCGGGACCAGACCAGGACTGAGACCGGGACTGGGACCAGTCCAGGACTGAGACTGGAACCAGACCAGGACCGAGACTGGGACTTAGACTGGGACCAGACCAGGACTGAGACCAGGGCAGGGACCAGTCCGGGACTGAAACTGGGACCAGACCGGGACTAGACTGGGACCAGGACCAGGACTGAGACAAGGATTAAGATAGGGACTGAGACTGGGACTTAGATCGGGACCAGACCGGGACAAGATAAGGATTGAGACTGGGACTGAGACCGGGACAGACCAGGACTTATTTAGAGACCAATTTAGCCCTGGTTTAGTTCTGGTTCAGTCCTGGTTCAGTTCTGGTTCAGTCCTGGTTCAGTTCTGGTTCAGTCCGGCATCGCAGTTTAAGTCTCAGAATTTTAAACACAAAATCAAAAACTGAAGAGACAAATCGTTATCCTTTTTTTTTTTTCATTTTGGTTTTGGAGACAAATAATTTTTTCGTTTTCTTATTTTTAAGTTTTATTTTGAAAAACAAATGAACAAAAGACACACAGATTCGACTAAACTAGAATCAAAACTACATCATGTGAAGCAGGAAACGATACTAAAAAAGTCACAAAAATGAACCTTTGCTGAAATTGAGTTTGGAGTTTTAGTATCATGACGCTACTAATACTACTACTAATAAATACTACTACAACTACTGCGACTAGAGATGATCTGATGTGGATTTTTATTGTTTTTTGCCGATAACAAAATCCTGTTCTTTATTTCACTGCTGTGACCGATGACCGATATTTGCCGATACTGATTTCCCGACTTTAAAACCCCCAGCGAGGCCAGAGCTGGAGGTTCAGATGAAGAAAAGTGTTTCTTCAATCAGGAGCCTTGGATTTTTCTGCCTCTTGTTCACTTCAGCTCGACAAAAAGACGAGTGTTGGTTTTGTCCAAACTGATCCTCCGACAAGAGAAGATGATTTTATAAAGTGGAACTAAAAACTGGAACTAAACACGTTTTGGAAACTAAACCGTGTACAGGATTATTTAAGAGTATTTCTACTGTTTACTGTGTTTACTGTGTTTACTGTGAGACTTTAGGGAAAAACAGGAACAAAAAAACAGTGTGTGCTGCCTTCAGGGACCTCTGCAATTTACAGTACTATGTGACATCACACAGAACTCCCCTCATGTGTTCCAGAACTGTCTGTATTTACTACTACTACTACTACTACAGCTACTCCTAAAAGTCTGTACTTTTACTACAACTACGACTTCTACAACAATTACTCCTACTCCTGCTATTACTACTACTACTACTGCTACTACTACTACTCCTACTCCTGCTATTACTACTACTCCTACTACTACTACAGCTACTCCTTAAAGTCTGTACTTTTACTACAATTACTATTACCACAACAATTACTCCTACTACAGTACTCCTACTACTGCTACTACTACTACTCCTACTACTACTACTCCTACTACTGCTACTCCTACAACTCCTGCTACTACTACTACTCCTACTACTACTACTACTAACACAACAATTACTCCTACTACTGTTACTACTACTACGGCTACTACTACTACTACTCCTACTACTCCTACTACTACAACAATTACTCCTACTCCTGCTACTAGTACTCCGACTACTACAGCTACTCCTAAAAGTCTGTACTTTTACTACAACTACTACTACCACAACAATTACTCCTACTCCTCCTCCTACTACTACAGCTATTACTACTCCTACTACTGCTACTTCTACTGCTACTACTACTACTGCTACTACTACTACTACTACTACTATTGCTAATACTACTACTGCTACTACTACTACTACTATTACTACTATTGCTAATACTACTACTGCTGCTACTACTACTGAAACTACTCCTACTAATACTACTATTACTACTACTACTATTCCTACTACTACTCTTCCTACTACTACTACTAGTACTGCTACTGCTATTACTATTACGACGACAACTACTACTCCTCCTACTCCTATTATTACTACTACTACTCCTAAAATTCTGTACTACTACTCCTACTACTACTCTTACTATTACTACTACTACTACTACCATTGCTAATACTACTACTGCTACTACTACTACAACAACTCCTACTACTACTTCTAGTATTACTACTAGGTTCTACTACTTCTATTTACTACTACTACTAGTACTCCTACTCCTATTAATCTGTATTACTACTACTACTTCTACTAATTGTCTGTACTTTTACTACTACTACTTTTACTACTACTACTACTACTACTACTACTCCGTCCCTGCACCCCAAGTTGATCTGTTCAGTAACGTGCTCTCTGATTGGTCAGTCTGACTCACCCCGTACTCTCCCGTCTCCTGATTGGTCATGGCCCACAGGTCCACGTCGATGTCCCTGGCGTTATTCTCGTCGGTCGTCACCAGCCCGGTCACTCCTGAACACACAAACACACAAACACACACAAAAACACAAACACACACAGAGTCACACACCAGCACAAAAGAAAAAAAAAAAAAACCTCCACGGCGACTGACTGAAGCCGTCGCCGTGGCAACCGTAACAAACCGCGGCGGGTCAGAGCTGCCGGCGCTTTCCGAAAGATTCTCTCTGTGGAGTTATTCAATGTCACGAGAAGAAATGAGAGCGGCAAATCACAAAAAAAAAAACAACAAAAAAAAAACGGAAAACTGGTTTGAATTCAGCCGAAAAGCAGGTGGTTTTTAAATCGGACTGACCTGGGTGAAAAAACCTGAGGGATTAAAGCTGCACTGTGGAACTTTCTGGTATTATGTGATTCCATTGTTTAAACAAGAACTAAACCAGGACTAAAACAGGACTAAACCAGGACTAAACCAGGTCTAAACCAGGACTAAAACAGGACTAAACCAGGACTAAACCAGGTCTAAACCAGGACTAAACCAGAACTAAACCAGGACTAAACCAGGACCGAATCAGGACCAAACCAGGTCTAAAGCAGGTCTAAAGCAGGTCTAAACCAGGACTAAACCAGGACTAAACCCGGTCTAAACCAGGTCTAAACCAGGACTAAACCAGGTCTAAACCAGGACTAAATCAGGTCTAATCCAGGACTAAACCAGAACTAAACCAGGATTAAACCAGGACTAAACCAGAAATAAACCAAGTCTAAACCAGAACTAAATCAGGTCTGAACCAGATATAAACCAGGTTTAAACCAGAACCAAACCAGGTCTAAATAAGGACTAATCCAGGTCTAAACCAGAACAAAAAAACAGGACTAAACCAGGACTGAACCAGATCTAAACTGGGACTAAACCAGGTCTAAACCAGGACTAAACCAGGTCTAAACCAGGACTAAACCAGGTCTAAACTGGGACTAAACCAGGTCTAAACCAGGACTAAACCAGGTCTAAAACAGGACTAAACCAGTACTATATCAGATCTAAACCAGGTCTAAACCAGGACTAAACCAGGTCTAAACCATTTTATCAAGTCAAGTCTCAAGTCCTAAAAACATGGTCCCTGTGTGATCAGAGGGTTCAATATTTCTCAATATCTCTGTGAAATACTTGTACTTTTTTATTTAAGTAAAGTAAAGTACATTTTTTCATGTGGTACTTTTACTCGAGTACTTTCTGGTCCCAGTGGTGGATGTTTCATCTGGACGTTTCAGCTCTCACCCAGAAGCGCATTTTACATTTGACGGTCGTGTTTTTGAGGCAGGAAATTTAAATATGTCAAATACGTTAAATACGTCCAGTTACTATGTCCAGTTCACCAACCATCACATGTGAAATGTTTTGTGATGGAGTTGATTTGTCTTGATCAGAACCAGAGTCCAGATGAGCACAGCTGGAACTCGTCTACACCCAACACTCCTGGTCCCACGAGGGATTACACCGTCTGGCTTCTGTATTAAATAACACAACTGAGAACTTTTTCCACCACTGTGATGAACTCAGTCTGACTGTGTGATGCAACCGGACGATTCACCCGCCGACTTTCACACGACTCGGATCCTCAAACGCAAAAAAACTAAACGTCACAGTGAACATGGAGCAGTTTGTACAAAAACATGTTTAAACAAAGATCCCCGGGTCGGACCTGTGTGCCCCGGGTCGGACCTGTGTGCCCCGGGTCGGACCTGTGTGACCCGGGTCGGACCTGTGCGAGCAAATGTGCCTCGGGTCGGACCTGTGTGCGCGAACGTGTCCCAGGTCAGACCTGTGTGAGCGGATATGCCTCGGGTCAGAACTGTGTGCTCAAATGTGCCTCGGGTCGGACCTGCGCGAGAGGACGTGCCCCAGCTCATACAGACGCGCCCCGGGTCAGACCTGTGTGATCAGAAGTGTCCCGGGTCGGACCTGTGTGATCAGAAGTGTCCCAGGTCGGACCTGTGATCAGAGTGTCCTGTGTGATCAGAAGTGTCCCGGGTCGGACCTGTGATCTCTGTCCCGTCCACACGAGAACAGGAGAGTGTTTTGTGGACGTTCTCGTCGTGTGCTCTCGTCATCATTACCTCATGTTTTCAATCAAATGTTTGGATCATTTGTCATGTTTTCATTTCAAATTGAAAAGCCAGTTCAGTAATAATAAGGAGGGAGCAGTGTTTAAACATGATCTGAGCCCGTTTATCGTATTGTGTCTTTAATCCTTGGCACACGTGCATGTTCAGACTCAGTCCGATCAGGAGGTTATTTACACACAGTGACTCGCACTTTTAGCCCTGGAGGGAAAACTTCAGGACTCCAGGGCAGAGTGTGGGCGTGTGCTTTTGATTTTTACTAAATCCAATTGTGCAAAATCAATTTTTCAAAGCTTTTAACCTTGTTATAGATGTTTCTATTAAAAAGAAACAGAAAACGTACTCCAGAATTCTTGTAGAGGTGCAAATACAACGAGCAGCGAGACAAAAGTGAAAAAAGCTGAGCACACTCAGACGGCCGATGTCCAAAAGCTTTTTTATTTTAAATAATGTTTCAACAAAAAAAGCCTTCATCAGATATTTTTCTTGCTTTGGACCACAGAACACAAAATGGTTGCCAGCCCAGGTGTTCATAAACCCGTCCAACAAACAGGAGGTCCCACAGTGAGGTCACCCGAGCTGTTTTCAGGAGGGTCAGTACGGTGCTGGTGCCTGCACCAGTTCCACTGGGAACCAAAGTTCTCACCTGTGAACGAGCCGCGTTCAAACTATTTACATGAACCCATGACTCGTCATCGACAGAGGGGAGTGGATTTACCACCAAATAAAAACAAGACCATATGAAAACGAACGTCACAGGGAGGAAGATAACAATCATGGAATCGCATCATCGACACCAGCGAGCGTTTGTACTTGTACAAATAATTATTTATGTGCCAAACTCTGACACAACATCGATCTGCTGTGGACGACAGCGACGCCCAATCTAAAGATGTAATCTTATCAGGAGAACACGGACACATGCAACACCAACAGGACGAAATCGTTTTTGTGGACTTAAAACTTTTACTTTCATACGTGATAGTTTCAGTTGCTCTTTGTTTGTTTATTTTCCCGTGTGTGACCCGGGTGAACGTGCTGACGTCTTCTGTGTCGTCACAGTTCACTTAGAAAAAACAAGTTTTACTTGGTTCCCGTTGGAAACCAACTTCTCAGTTTCCGGACGCTCTGATTTCCGGCGTGAACACGTGAGTCGGTTTAAGATTAAGTGCGGGAAGCAGCACCAACACGGTTCTCTGTCGGCCTGAAAACAACCCCAGTGAGTTCAGCTCGTTCCATGACAGGAAAAAACTGTTTAGATATTTACTTATATTATGTATTTATATTTTAACATTTTGTTAAATACAGAAATGACAGGAGGTGAGAATCTGGAAATGTTTCTGTCAAAAAGAGACACTTCTGGATTCACCAACTTAAGACACTTGCTCCTCTTGGACTGAATGTAAAGTTTGACCTAAGATGTTTTTGTGATCTGGTTAAACTATTTCTGTATTTAACAGAACATTATTTAAAATAAAAAAAGCTTTTGGACATCGGCCATCTGAGTGTGTTATATATTTTTTCACTTTTATAGTTGTTTCTCTCTCATAGAGTGATTCGTTCAGTCATCTTTATTGAATCATCTTTATTCTTTTCTATTCAAGATCTGCTCCTGTTTTTACGTCCAGCAGAACACACCACTGTACGTGCTTCTTTCTCCAGTTTTATTCTCTTAAACGGTGACATGTGTTGGACTCGACAGTGTTGCGTAGTCATTTTGGCACAAGAAAAAAAACAGCTACTCAACAGCACGATGTGAGTTTATGGAGAGTCGACAGTGACACACTGAAGCAGAGATCATCCCCTCCGTTGGGAAACTGGAAGGCAGGGCAGTGTTCCAACATGATAACGAGCCCAAACACACCTCCGAGATCAAGACCACCAGAGGCTTTCTGAAGAAGCTGAGGCTGAAGGCGATGGAGCGGCCCAGCATGTCACCAGATCTAAACCTAAACCCTGTTGAGCTTCAAATATCTACACGAATGCATCGAATTATAAATAGATCATAATTTTTCTGAGATTTTGAGACTTTCCCGTTGCTTGAGCTCGATCCTTCGCGGAGTTATGACCAAAAACACAAATTTGACCTTGGTGACCTTGACCGGTTTCAACCTGTAACATCCAGTGTGCCCCGGTTATGTGTGCGCCAACTTGTGTGACGACTGGGTGAATATTTTAGGCCGCAGATGGTTCAGAAATTACTGAAATTGCCTTTTATCCTTTATAATGGCGTGACCTTTCAATACACGCATCATGAATCTCGGACTTCCGGTTATTGCGCAATTCACACTGGGAAGGATTTTCTGAAAAAGTGAGCATCAAACCTCCATGTTTGTTTTCCCAGTGGGATGTGTCTATTGTCAAAGTCGATCTTTTCAAGTCTTTTGAACCATATCACTTTTGTTTCTGGTTCTGATATTGTCATATTTTAGTTTTGGGATTCGGACATCGTCATTGTGTGGTTGTTGGATCCTAACAGCAGAAAATCGACTCCAGAAATGTGTTTGTGAACTCCATAAATGCAAAAGTGAATCAGATGTGTGTGACTCAAACCTCTGTTCAAACTGTTTCTCTTCCCAACAGAATTGAAAAATAGTGAAAGGTGAAGGTGATGGGCAGGATTGATCCACAGGAAGAACCAAAAAGGAAACATTTGTCTGACTAAGAAATCATCCTGAGTTTACAGAGAACATTTTGTATGTGGAGCGACGACAAAACAAAATCCCGTTTGTTAATGTAGAGGAGCAGAAGACAAACAGACTGAGCTGCACTTTCTTGTTCTTGTGGTTTTACAGAAACATCACGTCTTGGTCTCTTTGCAGTGGAAGGTGTTTCTTGGTGAACAGTTGGAGACCTTTCACTTTGGCGTTGACTTTTTAAATTCGTAACCGATGTTGAGCGAAGGATCGAGATTTTGTTTTGTCGTCGCT